TTTTCTTTGATAATTCCATTGTTCCATTCCAAAAAGATGGATAGATCTTTAATCATTTCAACATAAAATTCTCCATGGACATTTTAATAAAGACACATCAGTGTCAAGGAAATCTCATGTCTGCAAACCAGCTGATAAATCTCAACCTCGCTGAGGTAATTAGAAAAGAGCAAGCTAGTTGGGCGTGACGCAAGCTGTTCTCAAGGAGATCTCTTTTAATTGGATGTAACAATGCTAATGATCATCCTCATATAAGACTAATCACAGGAAGATTGGCTCTTTGTTTCTGCTGCATTTGCTGTAGATCTTTTTATTCTTATGAAACTAAGACAAAGAAATGCCATGCTTCTTCCTCCCTCTGTCAATAGGTGCTTAATTAGTCAGTGAACAGATTTATTATGGTGGAATTGATAGTGATGGGCAGAACAGATGTGAGATCACGCACAGATAGTCACACGTCCTTAAATCCAAGCCATGACATGTAACCGAGTGTAGAACCAGTCTGTTTCACAGGCTAAGTGAAAAATATTCATCTCAAAATCAAGTCAGGCGCTTTCTGTCATAAAAAAGCAAGTAACTTGCTCCACCTGGTGGCGATTCTAAACACATCCATCGGAGAAGTACTGTCGGAGTATCATGATAACAGGACACCTCAAATAGGCAAAAAAGAAATATTTATTTCATGATAGACCTCAGTTTCCAAATAACTGACCATTCAAAGAAATTTACACAATTTCTTGTTTTTTTTTGGTGTTTTTTTTTAACTTTTTTTTTTTCAGGATTCACGGACAGCAGTTGTAATATCTATGACCACATGCAATGTGTTTTTTGTCCACTACACAAACAGGTACTAAGCCCCAAAGCCAGCGCTACCCTGACCTGAGCTGCACTGCTCCATCACTGCAGACAGCTGTACTCAAGCCTGGAGCGCAGCTAAAACACGTCCGATGCTTTATTACAGTCTAGCACCCTCCAACCTCGATTTACGGCTTCAATTTCTGATGGCCGGCAACAGCAAAAGGTTTGTCTCCAAGGACTGTATGAGGGACACATCCATGCACTTACGGAGTTTACAGGTAATGTTCAACTTTGAGGGACCGCTGCTCATGGTGTCAAGGATTTTACTTTTTTTTCTTGTTCCAGAGGTAAAAATAAGGACATTTCAATTTTTTTTTTAAATACTATGAAATTTTAATGTCCAGATCTGCAGTGTGGTGTCCTGTGTTAAAAGGTCTCTGGACATATAAAGTGCACTTGATGGCTGAGGTTCTTCAGCAGTGGGTTTCCTCGTCCACAACAGCATACAAAAAATTCTGCCCAAACTCAGGGATTTCAATATGTAGCATTGTAGCACCAAGTTGTGTCCACCAGTAAGGCAAGATACTGTAATGTGGCAGGCTGCAGACGAGAAACGTGGAATGGCAAAATGTATGTGCTTGTAGAAGACGACAAAAAAATCTCACAAAAACCTCTGGGTATTCATAAAAATCAGCATTCCCTTTTTAGTCCAAATTTGGACCACTGAGAACGTAGAAATCACAGAAACAGCGTTCACTGAACCTCCTCCTGACACTCCATTGTACTTCTGCATCCTCTTGAAGGAAGAGGAAGACATAATGGTGCTTGTATCCTTCATTGTCCAAGCAATTCCAGACATGACCGAATGCTTTCGGTTAGCTGCCTCTTCGTTCCAGTGAGATGATGAGCAGATCTGGTCATCTGCTCATTCCAGTTCAAGAAATGTTCAGTCTCTTTTATGGTCTTCTAATTGAGCAGCGTCCAGCTGAACGGGCGGATAGGGCCATGAGAGTGCACCGCTACAGAACGGGGCGTTAACGCTGCAGCTATACAAACGAGACTGTTGGGAGTGAAGAACATGTACGAAAAGGCACCGTATTTCTGGACAGGGCAGATGTACGAGTGTGTATGTGCAAGATGAGTCTGAATCCATCTCTTTACCTCCACCTCTAAAGGCATTACCATTTACTAAGGCAAATTCTCTCTGTAAAGAAACGCAAAGTGCATCTTTTCTGCTGTCATAATATATTCTTTGCGCTGCTGCTGTTAAACAAATGTTCAACATTGCATTTTAATCATAGATATATCTCTTTAATAAATTATATTCATATATAATTTTATACATCCCCACCATTATACCCCAGCGCACCTTATAGGTATTTCTGTACAAACTTAAAGCCATGCTTGTCCTTTGGCCACTTCAAGGCAAAGTTCTGCTCTTTCACAGTTTCCTCCTCCCAACGCTGAGAACGAAACAGACTCGGAGCAGTTTTCTTCACAGAGATCACACAGACATTCCGAGAAAGGGAAAAAAGCATATTCGTACATGACGAAAGAAGACAAAAGTACAAATATTCATTGTAAAATGAATTCCAGCGAAAAAGACTTCCATGAGATGTTGCCATGGAAATCAGAGTCCTCTCAGAGGGCTGCGGATTTTATTGGATGATCTTTGACCCCAGAGTCTCACTGCACCCCCTCCTCATCGACGTATGTAGAGGGGAACCATCCAATCTGAATGAAAAACATGGAAATAATGGCAATTTATATTGCTTATTAGGGCTGGGCAAAATTTTTTTTCGATTTTTCGATATATCGTTTTTTAAAATGTGGTCGATTCAATATCGATTCTCAAAGGCCACAAATCGATTTTTTTCAATATTTATTT